GGTCGGTGAGCGACAACATTTCTACTAGAAACTTTGAAAGAACTCAAAATGATCTGTATTACCTGTAGCTCAGTCCGTCAACGTCTCCACAGTCATTAAAACCTGTCGTGGGTCCATTTGGGTGCTCAGGTTTGTTTACGTTCATCCCGGAAGTAAAACTTTTCTTCGGTGTGTTCTTAAGGAGAGTTTACCACTCTGCACGTCAGTACTTCTATTCAGAATAAAATCCCGCTGCATGTAAACGCTCGTCGTGAACAGATTGTGCCCATGTAAACGATACATTTGAATTATTTAATCTGAAAATATTTCAATCCGGCCAAAAAATTGTGCGCATGTAATTATAGCTATTCAGATTACAGATTAATTCAGATCGAGCTGAATCAACAAAGAATTATCCAAATGGGGCGTTTACATGATGCATTTTTATTCAGAATGGCCGTTTAATCCGATTACTTTTGTCCATGTAAACATAGCTATTCAGATTACAGATTCATTCAGATCGAGCTGAATCAACAAAGAATAATCCAAATGGGGCGTTTACATGATGCATTTTTATTCCGAATGGCCGTTTAATCTAATTACTTTTGTCCATGTAAACATTCAGATTACAGATTCATTCAGATCGAGCTGAATCAACAAAGAATAATCCAAATGGGGCGTTTACATGATTCATTTTTATTCCGAATGGCTGTTTAATCTGATTACTTTTGTCCATGTAAACATAGCTAATGTGGTTGAATTCTGTGTGCTCTGTTTGTCTTAGTGCTCACATTTTCCTCTCAACATCTTACTTTTGTAAATGTTCTTTTTGTTTTAAAGTGTGATGAAAGCACAGATCTGGGGGAAAGACGTTAGTAGGTCAATTTTCTTATAGCTGACTGGATTATTATATATACACACCATAGTTCTTGTATTTTTTTACTTATTTATCTTTTTTATTATAAAGTATCTGCGCAGTTACAGTAATTTAACTAACACGAGGGACTCCATCTCTCCTCAGTTGCTCCTTTAAGTTGAACAATAATCAAAATAATCTGTTAAGTGCAATTACGTATTACATTGTTTTTATTTTCTTATGGTGCTGTTAATAGTTTGAAATGAACAAAAACGACTCATTTCTTCTCTGTCATCAAAATTAATCTGCATTTTATTTTTCTTATGATTACTCAGCATGGATAAATGAATAGAAGGTTTAAACGAAGGCAGCTGGACGACTCCCTCGCTTCAGAGCAGCTTTCCCAGTTCAGCCTGAGAAATGTTGAGCTCCAAGCTGTTGAAGCTGCTCTGTTTTTGCAACATGAACTCACATGCAAATCAGTCTTCCTTCCTTTCCTTCCCAAGAGTCATTAAAAACCTTTGTTGGCCTGGTCATGACAACGTCAACTGTTTTGGAAGCCCCGCCTCTGTTTAATGTCGGGGTAGTTTGATTTCACTGCATGTCCACAATGACAAGAGTCCCAATATGAGGAGGAGGAATTTGCTGTTTTGTGGTTCTGAATTAGTGAATTTTCAGCTACAATGTGATTAGCTAACCAGCAGGTTTGAAGCCCTCGACTCGAGCGGTGAGATGAAAACGTCTCGTCGCTCTCTCAGTCTGGCTGTTTGGTATTCCTGCAGTGAAGGAGGCGTTCATCTTCCTCCTCCTCAGCCGGCAGCAATATTCATCCCCCGTCTCCCGTCATCGTAAAGACAATCTGATGAGGTCGCTGAAGTTGTGTTCACATATTCACCCACACGTTGTATAATAAGCAGGGCAGACGGACGTGCACAGAGACATGAGCAGGCAGATGAATAACACCAAACTTCAGAGGGGTTACGTCCAGTTCAGTGTCGCCCAGACTGACAGCCCAGATGTTCCAGAGGCAGGATGTAGAACATGCTGCAGTAATTAGCATGCCTGTCCTGCATGCTGCAGTGTTCATATTCAGTCCATTCCTGGGAAAGGTACTCTGTTTTTGTCTCCTCGACCCTCTGTGCTTCACTAGAAGTCCTCTCTTACTCACTTATTTCAGTTTCCTCTGCGTATAAAATCATGTTGAGCTCAGAATTAGTCAAGAGAAAGCACGTGGCACTAATGGAAATACACTTAAAGGCATCTCAGAAATGTGTTTGTTGGGTGCATTTAGCATAAACAAAAGCTAAACCGTCATGTGAATGACACTGATCAAGTCTGGTATGAAGTTTTCCTTTTAGAAAGTGAATCACGTTCAATAAAATAACCCGTTTGCAGTTTTGTGTTTTTAAAGCAAATGTATATGAATTTGATGGGATCAAAAAGGCTAAAAAAAAACTCTATAAGGAGGAGATGGATCTTTAACTGATCATAATAAATCGTAGGCTTATAGCTACAAGCAGCAGTTTGATGCAGAGGAAAATATTGCTAACTAGTTCACAAGAACTGTACCGGTCCATTGTGGTGAAGAGGGAGCGGAGCTGCAAGGCAAAGCTCTCTGTTTACCCGTCGGTCTACGTTTCTACCCTCACCTCTGGTCATGAACTCTGAGTAGAGACAGAAAGAATGAGATCGTGGATACAGGAGGATGAAATGAGTTTCCTCTGCAGGGCAGCTGGACGCTCTCTTAGAGACAGGGTGAGAAGTTCAGTTATCAGGAGAGACTCAGAGTAGAACCGCTGCTCCTCCACATCCAGAGGAGCCAGTTGAGGTGGTTCATCTGGTAACGATGCTCCCTGGGCGCCTCCCTAGGTAGGAGCTTTGGACATGTCCGACTGGGAGGAGACCCTGGAGAAGACCCAAGACACACTGGAGAGACTATGTCTCTCGGTTGTCCTGGGAACACCTTGGAGTCCTCACAGAAGAGCTGGAAGAGGCTGTGGAGAGAGATGTCTGGACCTCCGTGATCAAGATGCTGCCCCCCGTGACCAGACTTCAGAACAAGTGGAAGATGATGGATGGATGGTTCACAAGAAGATTTATGTCACAGGAAAAGAAAACAGTTTGCAGAGATAAAGTGTGATCGTTGCAGTTGTAGCTGTTTCTCAGGAGGACGTGAGAACAAACCAGCTGCTTGACTGAAACCACAACCAGCTTAAATCCTCAGGATACTTGGTTCCATTAAAGTTCATCACCTTTGAGCATCTCATGCAAAAGTGAAGAATTTAAAAGTTTGAGCTGAGAATCCTGAAGAGCACTTTGTTGTTGTTTTATTACATCTTCGCCTGACCTCTGACCTCCAGGGGTCAGTTAGTACAGATGTATGAAGTTATACCCCTGCACACTAAATAAATGGGATTTTGACCATTTATGGGAAAGTTGATGACCTAAATTGAAGTGAGCAGTTTGACCAAAGGCAGATGCAGCAAACTGGTGTAACGGCTTGAATCAGCATCCACTTCTGTTCATATTCACCTCCTCTTCACTTCGTTTCATGCTTCAATCAGTCAAGTCCTGAACGCGCGGTGGTGAAATGCGTTTGCTGTTGTTGAACCGCAGTCTCATAAAAAAGGGTAAATATGAAGAAGCTGACACTTGAGAGAAGCTTTGAAACATCAGGAACACAGGTGGGTTGAAACGGAACCTAAATGTGGCACAAACTGGTTTCAGAAACGTCCTGAACACGAATGTTAGCGTTCGACTCCTACGGGAAATGGATCCTTTCTTTATTTCTTCAAAGACGGGAACCTGCTGCAGCTGATGATCTGGCACGACCGCGAGATCCTGGAGGCAGCCGAAGCTCTGGTTCTGGTGGATTTCCACTGCATGTTTCTAAAGTGTGTCAAACGTGTTGGTCTTTTTGAAAAATATCCGAACAACTCGTTGGATTTTAATCTAACTCTGATAGTAACAAGTGGATGTGCATCTACAACTGGTTGTCTTTTGGAGTATACCCGATTCAAGATGGCTGCCACAGCGGATCAACTTTTGAGAACGCATAAACAGCTACACCTCAGTCAGTTTTAAAAATGTTGAGCTAAAACTTGGTGTGGTAGTAGCTGAGAGTCATACCCAACATGTTCTCTGAGCACTAGCACAACACACGGGGACTTTAATGTGCAAGGCAGTAATTTAAATTCCCGCCACCAATAATGCAGTCATGTAGGAATCAGCTCATTCAGGCAATGGGTGCTCTGACTTTTGTTTTGTTTTTTAGCTTTTAATATTTTAAAATTATCTTATTTTACAAACCTTTTTCTGTAGAAATTTATTTTTTTTATTTCCTTCAATAACAGTCTTTTAAAAAATCTTTTAAAACCTTTCTATATTTTTGTCTCGTCTTTTTAGTGTTTTGCTACTATTCCCCAGCGTTGTGCTACTTTTAGCTATTCTTTTTTTTTCTCCAGGTAACTTTAGCTGCTTTTAGCTTTTACCTAATTGTTTGTTAAATTAAATGTATAGTTATTTGGTACTTTTAACTGTGATTTTACTTTTTATCTTTTGGTTAATCTTTTGCTATTTTGAATTAGCTACATTTAGCTTTTACCCAGTATTTTTGCTACAATTAGCTTTTAGTTTTCCTTTTGCCATTTTAAGCTTTTAGCTCTTAGCTTGTGTTTTGCTACTTTTGGAAAGCAATCTGAGACTTTTGGCTTTTCACCTTTTCAATTCTGTTACATTATAGCTAAAGTTTAACTTCTTTTTGCTTTGTGATTAACTTTGTCAGCCGAAGTTCTGCTTCTTTTAGCACTAACGATTACATTTGAGTTGTTTTCAACATATTTTGGAATTAAACACTCGGCAGTCTTAATGTCTTTAGTTTTTTTATGCTTCTTGAACAGGTACAAGCCAACGCTGACAAATATAAAACCTTCGTTTTGGGATGCTCAATAACTCATTTTTGCAAATATTAAATATTTTATATATATATATATATATATTTCAACTAATTTTCTTGATCCTGATGCTTTTAAATGATCGTCAAACTTTTATCTGGGGTGGTTAATTTTTTGAAAATGTATTTTCATTTACCTTAAAGTAGCATTTTTATTTATGTTTTGTCTCTGATGGTAACCAGGCCTTCTCGTACTGCTTGAATCCCTTCCAGAGAACCACTCAGCCCCACCAGACGTCACCAGCTACACCAACAACACCACCAACACCCCCGCCACCGATGGGATCCAAGTGGAACGAACCCCAGGGCCCGGTTTTGCCGCCCAGAGACAGACGCCCAAATACGGCAACGCGGAGCTGATGGAGACCGGAGACGGTGAGACTTGATCAATCAGGCTTTCTGAAAACCTTTCAAAGTTTTTCTTTGGACTTTGTTTATTTCCTGTCCAGTCGTTCAACCTGACCATGGCAGCATGTTGTACAGCATGAATTAAAAAAAAGACAAGTGGACTAAACGTTCAAGGCTTAAAAAATGATCATGAACTGGATGGGAATAACTTAACTGGAGCTAAATTCTCGCTTGTTGTTTGTCAAACTGATTTATCTTTGGTATTTTTCAAACATGGGAATTGTTTTTTTGTAACAGACTAGACGGGAGGACCTAAAGATCAAATTAAATTTTTTTTTTTCAGTTTTCTGGTATTGTTGACATGAGACTTGTTTATGTCTTGGGTTTAGGAGTGGGTTGTTTTTGCACCTGAATGATTTATAGTTTAAGTTCAGTGGTGTCACAAACAGACCAAAGCCCTTCTTCTGAAACTGGTCGCACAGATTTTCAGACAACCTGAAGGACGGTTGAATGATTTCACATTTAATGATGACTTGAAAATCTGCAAGCAAATTGTAAAGTAATGGAGGATGGGTCAAATATTGTGTACAGTACTGTATCATGTGCTTGTTTCGAGTGTTTTAAAAAAAGTCGTACTCCAGTTTGAGTGTATTCCACTTAATTTTCGTTGATCTTGGTTCTTTAATTGGTTGTTTCCACGTCAGTTTGGGTCGGATTGAAATGATTCTTCTGGCTCTGTCTCCGCAGTCCTCAGAGATGACTAAAACAATATTTTACTTGTTCATAGTTTATTCTTTTTTTACTCCCTGGAACAATCTGAAGCCGTGGCAGACGAGTCGTTCATCACACGTTAGGATCGATGGCCCGGTGTCTCAGAGATGTTGAACGCAGCTCATGGAGACAGAGACGGATCATCTGCCTAAGTTCAGAAATTAAAGCTGATTAGGACGTTTGACTTGATGATTTGCAAAATTATTACTTTATATTTGTTAGTTTTTATTATTTTTTAATCTTCGATGAGTCAATGATTTATTTCTTCACATCATGTCTGAGATCTTATATTGTTCGACATTCAAAGCTCATGTTTCTGCTGCTTTATTTAATGTCTGGAGGCTTTTAGAGCAGATCCTGACTTACATGTAAAAAGTTTTGAATCCTAAACATTAAATTCTTTTTCTGGTCCTCAGCTGGTCACAATCAGATAAATACAACCCCAGAAAAACAACAACATTGAAACTATTAAGCCTTGGTTTTTAAATTTTATTTTTTTAACTAAAACTTTGAAAAGTTTGCACTCGTCAAAGATTTGTCACATCGGTACAAATTCAAATTCCTAATGAGAATCTTTTCTTAGTTTTGAAGATTTCCTGAAGTTGTGTAAAGATACAGACACAGTAAAATTAGGATGTAAAACCGTTGTGAACATGAAATTAAGGATTTTGTCAGGCTGTTGAAGAACTTGAAGTAAAAAAAGTTGTCTTATTGGCCCACGTACTGGGTCTGCCCAGGATCTCCTCTCAGTGGGATGCGTCTGGAGAAACCTCCAGAGGGAGGCGTCCAGGAAAAAGAATCAGGTGCCTGAAGCAGCTCCGCGGACTCCTTTAGACGAGAAGGAGCCGCAGTTTAACTCCAAACTCCCCTCCAGATGATGGAACTCCTCAGCCTATATTTAAGGCTGAGCATGGCCAGTTTGTGTCAGCCGCTTGGACCCAGGATGTTGTTCTTTTGGTCATTGGTTAGTGTTGGATCATAGACGGATCCCTAAATCAGGAGCTTTGACTTTTGGCTAAACTCTTCCTTCATTACAGCAGACTGGAGCAACCACAAACAACAAAGATACTTGAACTTTTGCACTTGAGGCAAAGCACCAACTCCACCCAGAGGGAGCGTTCCACCTTATTCTTGTCGAGAACCGCGGCCTCGTACTCGGAGAAGTTGACTCTCATCTCAGCTGCTTCGAACTTTGCTGCAAACCACCACAGTGCATTTATTCTCTTATTTTTCTCGTTTTTAAATTTTAATTTCTTTGAATCAACCAAAAGTTTAAATCAGATCCGCCCGAACGTCCGTTTCCAACCAGATCTCGGCACTTCCTATTCCACATGTCAACGCTCCCCTCTCTGTGAGGTCCCACTGCATCGTTTCTCCCGTCACCGCTCGGAGCGTCACGCTCACTGATGCTTCTGCAGGTTCAGGGCAACTTGATGTACATTTGTTTTCAGATTTCACAGAAGACGAGCTGCGGCGTGCAGCTGCCGGATTCGATTAGATGAAAAGTTTTGTTTGTGTTGTTGTTCTGCAGGTGTTCCAGTCAGCAGCAGAGTTTCAGCCAAAATACAGCAACTCGTCAACACGCTGAAGAGACCCAAACGACCTCCGTTAACGGAGTTCTTCGTTGACGACTTCGAGGAACTTCTGGAAGGTGAAACACGTTGTTAACACTTTGTAGGACGGGCTGAAAATTGCATTCCTTTTATTTTTGATTGAACTAAGCATCCAAGCTGTAGCGCAACATAAATTTAGTTTTTCATAAGGTTTCATATAATCTTACAAAAACCATCTATCCTTCGTTTTATCTCATGCAGTTGAAAAATATTCTGTTCAGACCAATTTTTGCTCTGATTTTATTCCCTTCTGTCGGCTCCAACAATGCAGAACCTGATGAATATTTCCTTCTGTTTTCAGTATGAAAAGCTGCAGAGCCAGAACTTAATTCATTATTTAAGCATGAAATGTTAGAAATGCTCAGTTGGCTCAGTGTGTAGTTAAAATGCATCACTGTGATGGTTCATTTCATTACAATGTCTTCTCTGTGTGATACAAGAGTGATAGCAAGGGTACAATGCACACTGTCTTCATGCAAACATGAATCTTTAGTTTAAACAAAGTAATGGCTTTTATTTTGTTATTTCTCCTGAAAACACCTTTTATTTCTCTAATTGCTTATTGATTTCCTGCCATGATGGGTGGACGATATCATCATTTCTTGTCTTTGTGTTTTATTTTTCTTTTGGAGTCAACTTGATTTAAGAGCGATATCTAATTTATCTCAGCAAACATAAAAAAATGCTGTAACTCCGTTAAAATTACAGATACTGAGCTGTACGTACTCTTCGCTCTTTGTTTGAAATGTTGACATGCAAAGTGGTGGGTGGCGTGCATTTCTTTAAGAAATGCTACGTTTTAACTGAACTTTAATCCACAAGTCTAAAAAAAAAAATCTTTGTTTCTTTCAAATCTTTGTTTTCTATCTTTAGAAGTAAAAGGTCAATCAATAATTAATGTTTTAACAATGAAAATAGAGTTAACATTTAACCACTGCAGTTTTTCCTCCAGGGCGTCACGGTGGATCAGTTGGTAGAGCTGCTGCCTCTCAGCGAAAAAGTCACTGGTTCAAATCCCGGCCACAGACCTTGCTGGGTGGAGTTTGCATGTTCTCTCCGTGCATGCGTGGGTTTTCTCCGGGTACTCCGGTTTCCTCCCACAGACCAAAACCATGCATGTTAGGCCGAGTGGTAACTCTAAATTGTCCTTAGGTGAGAGTGTGAATATTTTTTTGTCTCCGTGTGTCCCTGTGATGGACTGGAGACCTATCCAGGGTGTCCCCCACCTCTTGCACAGTGATAGCTGGACATGGGCACCAGTGACCTTCTCAACTCAAAAAGAAAGAAAGATTATGGATGGATGGAGTTTGTCCTCCATGACTGAACCAATGGGCATCAGTTTGAATGTAATGTGCCACTTCACCACTAGATGTCACTCACATCGGCATACGGCTCCTTTAAAAGCCCCAAACTGAAAAAATGTGAACCATCAAAGCTCCAGTTCACAGAAAAATTAAATGTGAGACATTTCCTGTGAGGGTGTGTCCATCCTTAAACAGATCGGTGTAAAAATGGAAACGGTGACCTTTTAACTCTCCTTCTTGTTTACATCTGCCAACCTGCAGTCCAGCAGCCAGACCCCAACCTGCCCAAGGCTGAAGGGGCCCAGATGGTCGCCATGCGTGGCGAGCAGTTGGGCGTGGTGACCAACTGGCCCCCGTCTCTGGAGGCGGCTCTGCAAAGGTGGGGCACCATCTCTCCAAAGGCCCCATGTCTGAGCACCATGGACACCAATGGCAAGCCGCTCTACGTGCTTACCTACGGTAAGAAGGCTTTCAAATATCTTCGCTGCATTTCACTAGAACGGGTTGAAGATGCATTTAACAAGAAATAAGCATTTCAAAGCTGTGACATAAATTACTTTTTAAAAGAACAGTAGGCACTTTTCACCTTCAGGGACACAAAAATGTATTTTACATTCCGTCTGATCTCTCTGCACACAAAATCCTCAATTTCCGCCTTAAGTTTTGAAAATAAAGAGATGAAGACTCAAAATACTGTAGTACTTCAAGGATAAAACTGTTTTATTTCATTCTGTTTTAAGCCACATATGGTGGCTTTTCCAAGCTGATTAAATGAAGCACCAAACAATGTTTGACAACCGCAGTCTGAGCATAAATCTCCTGTTGGCAGCCAGAGAGTTAAGCACATTAGCAACATGTGGAAGAAAGAATGAGGCTCTAATACAGGAGAAGGAAACCGTTTTTGTTAACAGTCTTTAAATTTAATTTTTAGAATTTGTTTGAAATAGATCTGAGTTTATTTATTTTCCTTTGAATCCATCCTGAGTGACGTCCAGCTCTGTCTCTTATAGGCTTTATACCATGAAATGTGGTTTTTAAAGCCTCTGAAGGGAGAGTTGAACAGTATACATGTCTGTCGGTTTGTTTGTTTGTTTGTTTACAGAGCAATCGAAGCAGCTGTACGTTTGTTGTTAGTATTTTGGGACAGATCCTCAGAGGTGGACATCGGGTTCTTGCATGTTTCCGTTCCTACTGTAGACACCTTGATCCAAAGAAGACCCAGACAAGGGTGGCCTGACTCTGGGTTTGTTGAGGGTTTAGGAAGGATCAAGATGCAGGGTTAGTTTTTATTTAAGCGTTAGACGTTCAGTAGATTTATTTTTATTTTATTTAACCTTTATTTACACAGGTAGTCTCTATGAGTCATGAGGACTCATTTTCAGTAGAGAGCAGGCTGGTCAGTTGTTTGTGACTGTGAATATAATCTTGTCTCTTGAGTGTCGTGTTTGTACTTGGAGAGCTTAGAGTTCAGACTTGTCAGGGATGAAACCACTGGTTCAGCTTCTAATCCATGCCAAATAGTTGTCGATACTTAAACACTTTTTATGATGTCCCAAAGTCACCTCTCCACCTTATTCCTAGCCCCTATGCTGTGTTGCGCGAATTATGGGCATGACTTCCGGTGTGGACCGGAATCGGCGTGTCCTCTTTACACCTGAAATCATCCCTGATGTTCTCGTCACTGTTTTCAATCCTTCTGAGGATCCAGCGTTTCTTCTCCGGTGGTTTATTTTAGTCCAGACACAAAGTAGGACGCAGGTTTTCCTCCGTCGGCCGTTTGTCAACAAAGTGAAATGAGCTCACATGCAGAGTTTTGGGTTGTCTCTTCAAGTTCAGGTTTTTCAGCCACATTCTTCTTAATTCTTAATCTGTAGGTAGGAGGTGGAAACTAAACCTCTTTTCACAGGAACTCTTTCTTTTTTTTTGGGGGGGGGGGGGGGGGGGGGGGCTCCGTGTTAAAAACTCTGTTATTGTAGCCACTGATTTAGTTTGGTCTGGTTGTTCTGCAGCAGTGAACACAACAGGTACCTGAACTCAGCACGGCTGTTTTAGTAAACTTTATGATTGTTAAATAAATGTGAACAAAACAAAAACAGAGTTTTATCTGCTGAACTAAATGCAAATAAATTTTAAATAAACCACAGTTCGTGCTCCGCTACCATGGTTAACCAATGCTTTCTGCTACTTCCTGTATCTGACAGGAAGTAGTATCCAGAATAATTTATACTGTGGAGCCCACAGGAATAAGGTGGGTGGGTTTGATTTTTTTTTTTTTTTATGACACATTATTTTTACATTTTTTTTTAGTCCTAAAACTGTTTTAGTCAGTTTTAAAATCTAGATTTGTCAAATGTTTTGCATCTGATATATTTTTGATGGTTATGCGGTAGATAAGTTAAGTAAAATAGAGACTGAGTAAACCTCGTTTTTTGCAAATATACAATTTGGAACGGAGTAATTGTGATATAAATTGGTCGTTCCACCTGCAGTACAGTCGGTGTCACAGCTTTCTAAAATAATGTACTTTATCTGAATCAAATTACATCCTCATCCAGGGTTCAGTGCTTCATTTCCCCACAAACTGAACCAGGTTTCTTGGTTCTGCCGTTGAAGCACAGACATTTATTAATCTTCCAAACAGCAGCAGAGAAAAACAATTTCAAGTCCAGAGGGTGTAAATATAAAAAAGGTAGCTGCCATTAACTGAGCTGCTTCCCTCTGGTCCTCATGAATTTTGAGTGAAACCTCCCTGCTGAGCTGCACAGAGAGCGAAATAATCCTGAGAAAAGTGCAGCTGCATCGCAGCAAATGTTTCACACAGACACGCACACTTTAAACTGAACATAAACTTCAAGGATTTGTTCTAAAAACAAACAGATTTAAACTAAACCACAGATTATACAGCTGTACGGTGTCTTCAACAAGGATGGAGGGGAGGAAGTTGAGGAAGGGAGGATGTAAGTGAGGAAGGAAGGAAGGAAAGAAGGGAGGATGTAAGTGAGGAAGGAAGGAAGGAAGGAAAGAAGGGAGGATGTAAGTGAGGAAGGAAGGGAGGATGTAAGTGAGGAAGGAAGGAAAGAAAGAAGGGAGGATGTAAGTGAGGAAGGAAGAAAGGGAGGATGTAAGTGAGGAAGGAAGTTAAGGAAGGGAGGATGTAAGTGAGGAAGGAAGGAAAGGAGGTTTTAAGTGAGGAAGGAAGGGAGGATATAAGGGAGGATGTAAGTGAGGAAGGAAGGGAGGATGTAAGTAAGTAAGGAAGGAAAGAAAGAAGGGAGGATGTAAGTGAGGAAGGAAGGAAGGGAGGATGTAAGTGAGGAAGGAAGGAAGGGAGGATGTGAGGAAGGAAGTTAAGGAAGGGAGGATGTGAGGAAGGAAGTTAAGGAAGGGAGGATGTAAGTGAGGAAGGAAGGAAGGAAAGGAAAGGAGGTTTTAAGTGAGGAAGGAAGGGAGGATATAAGTGAGGAAGGAAGGAAGGAAAGAAGGGAGGATGTAAGTGAGGAAGGAAGTTAAGGAAGGGAGGATGTGAGAAAGGAAGGAAGGAAGGGAGGTTTTAAATGAGGAAGGAAGGAACAAACGAAGTGTGTAAGTATGGAAGGAACAAAGTGTGGAAGGAAGGAATGAAGGAATCATGGAATGAAGGAAGCTTGGAAGGAAGGAAGTGTGTAAGGATGGAAGGATGTACGAAAGAAAGGAGATATGGAAGGAAGTGTGTAAGTAAGTAAAGAAGGAATGAAGTGTGGATGGAAGGAAGGAAGTGTGGGAGGTAGTGTCGAAAGAAGAAAGTGTGGAAGGAAGGAAAGAAGGAAGGGAAGAATTAAGGAAGTGTGGAAGAAGGAAGGAAATAAAGAAGTGTGGAAAGAAGGAAATAAAGAAGTGTGGAAGGAAGGAAAGAAGGAAGGAAATAAAGAAGTGTGGAAGGAAGGAAAGAAGGAAGGAAAGAAGAAAGGAAAGAATTAAGGAAGTGTGGAAGACGGAAGGAAAGAAGAAGTGTGGAAGGAAGGAAGGACAACACAAGTATGGAAACAAGTATGGAAGGAAAGAATAAAGGAAGTGTGGAAATGTGTTGGATTTGCCTAATCTCAGCTGTTAGTCCGTTCACTGCAATAATTTGGTAATCTGCTGTTAGTCCAACAAATAAAAGCACGTGTGAGTATGTACATTTTTAAATTCTTCTACATCGGTGCTATTTACCAACATTATATTATTTTGTGCAACAGCAGAGTTGATAAAAATGAGACTAATTATTGGATTATAGTGGGTCTTTTCAGCAGCTTATTTATGTAAATCTTAAATTTCATTAATTTAGGTCAAAGTGAGTTTTGCAACAAATTCAGCAGAAATTTTTCCTTTTCTGTGCAACTTTTTACTTCTTAGTGTTATTTCATTCAAACAAAGCTTGAGGTCTTAACCAGAGTGAACATTTATTTCATAGTTAGGGCTGATACAAAATACTAGATCTCTGCACAGTTTTGTACAAATATACAAGCAAACAACAACAGTAAAAAATAAATAAATATTGGAAAATGATCAAATCAAAGAAAGAAACTAAAGTGAATCTCTGTTTATTTTTCTAGTTTCATCATTTTTACAAATAATTTCTGATCAGTTTTTGACTTTAGACACTCGGGCTTGTTTTGAAACGCTCCATCCTGCAGATAAATGTCTTTAAAGAGCAACCAGGAATGTCTGACAACCCACACTTTCTCATGAACGCTCATTTAGACATTCGGCGGCTTCCCAGTCGTCCTACACATGAATTCACCCAGTCGTCAGCTCCGAGGATTAACGCTAACAGGCAGCAGCTTTCTTCAAACGGGCGTGAAGTTTGAGTGTGAGCGTCTGAACAAACTGACGTGTGAGCAGGTGACGAGACGATACGAGCGCTCACCAGACTGTGAAATGTCTGCAGCCAGCGCTCAGGAGACGACCAGCAGAGACCACGCACGGTGAGGTAGTGGTGTGGAGGGAGGGGGCGTGATGTGCAGTGCTGAATCTAAATCTTACCTCAACCTCTATCTGCTCCGTATCTCCGATTCCTGTCGTGGCTCGCCTTTGATCTCAGCCCACACAGACACATACGTTTGGTTTCTTCCTGTCGAGCCGTCCATCGCCCCCAAGAGAACAGAGAGAATTAACGATGCCCACGTGTGCTGCTGTCCTTAAGACTGCACCCGCAGAGAAACGCTGATTCTGATGGAGCTTCGATCCTCTCTGTTCTGCACAGCTGATCCGTTTATCACCAGTAAAAAGTTTAAATCCGTGTATGGATTGTGAAGATTTTTTTCTACTTTCAGTGTGTTTCTGCTTCTGTTTGAAGTGTTTCTTCTTTAAATGCCAAGAAAAAAAAAGTGTCTGTTTTGGGTCACTACCTTGACCCTTCTACCCTCCACGGCAGCTTCAAAGTTCCTCCCGTCAGGTGGAAACAAACAAAGCAGGGATAAGTTACCGCGGAGCAAAACGCACCTGTTTCACGTTTTCTAATTGGTCGCGGAGCGAAGTTGTGAGCATGACAACATGAAACATGGATGACGTACCGACTTCCATTTTGGTGTGTGGCTACATCTAGGCATAAGAAAGTCCATGCTCAATAATCCAGGTATACAATCCAACAATTTTCAATCAGGTCATCTGGATGGTTTCTTTTTTTTTGTGCTGAAACGTTTCACCTTCCATCCAGAAGGCTTCATCAGTCAAGGAAACGCACAACACAAAACTGATTCTTCCCCCAACAGCTTACTCCAAAGTGGAACAAACCAGTTATTTTGGTGCTAAGATGGTCTCGTTGGTACGACAGTCGACAATATTGAGCATGGACTTTGTTGGTTTTGAACCAGTTTGACAACAGTCGACGAGGACGAGGGCCAGCACAGGAGGAGGGGGCGTGCCAAAGAAACCATCTTAGCACCAACATAACTGGTTTGTTCCACTTTGGAGTAAGCTGTTGGGGGAATAATCAGTTTTGTGTGTTTCCTTGACTGATGAAGCCTTCTGGATGGAAGGTGAAACATTTCAGCACCAAAAAAAAACTGTCCAGATGAACTGACTGAAAATTGTTGGGTTCCTTTACAGTAACTGGGTTGCCACATCAAAATCCAAGATGGCTGCAGTCATATTGATACATGTAAGCCTTGTGAGTTGAGCAACTTGAAAAATAAGTAATGTGCTGACTTCCATTTTGGTGTGTGGCCACATTTAGACATAAGAAAGCTCCTTATCAGGATTGGGTTGCCACATCAAAATCCAGTCAAGAAAAACGCTCTTCTTGAAAACTACATTCACTTCTCAAATCCCTCAGCGAGTGGGGGACGTACCGCTTGTAAAACTAGGCTCTACAGCAGCGGTGTCCGTTTCTGGTTCTCCGAGGGCCACTGTCCAGCATGTTTAAGATGTCTGGTTGAATTACGTCTTCACGTTCTGCTTTCACTCACATCAGGCGTGTTGGAGCGGAGAGGCCTTTAGAACCTGCAGGATGGCGTCCCTCAAGGACCAGGACTGGGCACGCTTGTTTCAGATGTTTCTCTGCTTCGACACGCCTCATTCAAATACCTCGTCGTTTAGCTCCTCTTTAAATTATGATGATGACATGTTCATTTAAACCAATGAAACATCTCAAACATGCAGGATAGTGGTGCTGCGTTACTTGTAAGATTTTAATCCCACGTTGGAAAACAAACTGAAGTCTTGGAACGTTTGTCTAAAATATTGTTTCACTTTCTTGCCAAACTCGTGCACTACTCTCCATTATTTGTTACACATTCGCTCCAAGGTGTTTTTAAAGCTCAATCCAATTAAATTAAACTACTCCAGTTGGTCCCAGTGGGAGAAAAGCTGCGTGTTTAGTCTTAACAGGGTAGATTAAGTTCGGAAAGCTAAGCTCTCTGCTTCGGATTGTCCTGCAGGGGAGAAACTTTGCCTGCAGGAATCCTCTGAATGTTAAAGAGGAATGAAAGATGTTCGATCCACCTGGAGGATGGATGCTCGTCACCTGCAGAGACCTGAAGTGCCATTACATTTATTGTCTTATTGGGCCACTTTGTTTGCAATTAATAGATGCCAGTCAAGGTTATTGTGGGGAAAGCATCCCCTGTTTTGACCTCCATTGTTTTACATTTTTTATTAATTATGAATAATGCTAATGGAAAATGATTACAAAGGAGAAGAGTTCTGAATATTATGAGGCAAAAGGTGGTCCAGAGGTTAGTCCCTGTTAATAATTTAAACCCCAGAAATGGAAAAATGAGAATTATTTCTTTTAATTTTTCATTTTCTAGCATTGTTTGCCTCCTGGAATCACCAAGATCATCTCCGTTTCATTAATTCTGACAAACACAAGGAAACAAAACCAGCTTTGCTGGAGAAATAATAAGGAATTCATGCCGGATTGCTCGTGCATAATATCTGCAGAGGTCTGAGGTGGGAGGAGGAGGAGAAGAATAAAGGAAATTGATTTCACTGTTTTGAGTTACAGCATTAATGAGATGCCGGGCAGAACGAACCGGATCAGACAGATTTGACAGGAGTTATTGACTTCATTCATTCAGACGGATTTTAATGTCGGATGGAAATATTTCTGGAGCTGCTTTTCTGTCAGAAGAGCTAAAAGGTTGGGCTTCTCCACCTGAAGTGGAGGAAGGATTAAAATGATAAATAAAAGCAACCGTTAAGTCACCAAACATCTGTTTAATGAACCCCTCTGTGGTTCTTGCCTCTGACTGAAGGCCTGTTTGGTCCGGTCCATCAGGATGATGTCACTCCTGTGATAGTTTCCACACGGGGACTGATGACGTCCCGTCATACAACAGATCTTTCAACAGTCTGCATGTTGGTCATCTCCTCACTATCTTGGACTCGTCTGGGATCTTTAATCCTTTAAAGCCACACGTTTTAATTGTTGCATGCCTCTCATGGTTGTAGCATGTGCTAATCAGTGGGTGTGCTTGCAGGTAAACTGTGGTCCAGGAGTGTGAAGGTGGCCTACAACCTGCTGAACAAACTGGGATCCAAACAAGAACCGCTGGTCCGGCCTGGAGACAGGGTGGGTCCAAAGACACCGGGCGTTTGTGCACGTGGGCTGCGTTTGCTTTTGTGCGCTGTGGTTAAACATTGTCTGACGGACTTGTTCCAGAAGTCTTGTGCTTCAGTCACATGAAACTTTGCCAAGTTAAGCTGCGCTGCAATATACAAGTTTGAACATACACAGTACAAACAAACAAACAAACAAACAAACAAACAAACAAACTGCCCTACGTGGGCAGTTCAGACTTTTACCAGGTTTGACAGATATTTTACTAGAACGTGTCTCTGTTAGGACATCTTGGCGCTGGTGTTTTCAAAGTAAAAGTCTTGTTTTCAGTGTTGACCGTTTGAGTTTCTGACCCTTCAACACAACCAGCTGCACTTTTCTTCTTTTGTTGTCTGAACGTTTATGAAGCGTTCACAAAGTTGTGATCCGTTTTTCTTCCGTACGTTCTTCTGCATCTTTCTCGTCCCGCAGTTTTCAATCTATTTCAACAAATCACAAATCAAAACGTTCAGCTCTTTCAGGACAATCCTGCTGTGACTTTTGGTGTTGGTGCAACTTTAGCTTTTTGAAATATTTAGTCTTCTCTGACATTTTTTTCTCATAGAAAATGAATTGAACTGATTTTACGTCCTTCAAATCTTTAGATGCGTTTACAACCTGTTACTGCTCCTTCACATTTTGTTCTGCTTCAGCTTCTTTCAGCTTCCTTGTACAAATTTGAAGTTTTTTTCAGCTACTTTCAGCTGTTTTTTTAGCTGTTTTGTGCTCCAACATGTTTGTGCTTCTTCTACCATCTTTCTACTCCTTTCAGCTTATTTCTGCAAGTTTCAGCTTTTTCTGCTATTTCTACTATTTAGCTGTTTTAATGCTAATTTTAGCATTTTCAGCTAATTCCACATTTATTTGCACTCATTTCAACTTTTTTCAGCCTATTTTGGAAAAAATGTGCCCCCTCCACTTCCTTCTGGAAATTTCAGCTTCTTTCTGCATTTTGAGGTACCTTTCAGCTGACTTTTGCTAAGTTCAGAGTTTTTCAGATGGGCAAACGTGTTCTGCTAATTTAAGCTTGTTCTAACTTTTAAGCAAGCTTTTTAGCTTTTTTTTTTTTAGCTAATTTCAGCTGTTTTTAGATAAATTCAAGTTTTTCTTGGTATTTTTTTGCTACTTTCAGCCTAATTAACTTCTTTCTGCTAATTTCAGGTTATGCTCCTTCCATCTTTTTTCTACTAGTTTTGGGTTTTTCTACTATTTCAGCAACTATTCAACAGTTTTATGCTAATTTTAGCTTTTTATGCTACCGTAATTCCACATTAGTTTAGCTCATTAAAGCTCTTTCTGCTCCCCTTTGGTAGATTAAGCTTCTTTCTGCCTTTTCAGCTACTTTTCAACTATCTCTTGCTAATTTCAGCTTTTTGATAGCTAATTAGCTAATTTCTGCTTATTTAAACCTAATTCTGCAAATATGAGTTCTTTCTGCTTTCTTCTGCTAATTTAGGCTTGTTCCATTTCAGCATGTTTTAGCTAATTTCAGCTATTTTTTTAAGCAAGTTCTTCTGCAATAAGCATTCATGCTGCATTTTTGCAGAAAATGCAATAACTCTATTTACTGTTTCCTTCAGATTAACTTTTTTTTTAACACAGCTGGGATAAATAAAAAAATAAAAAATAAACCAACAGCGGTTCATGGCATCATCTTTCAGGACTTTTGAGCTGTGGCCGACATAAAATTTAAACCTCCATTACTCAGAAACTGACACATGCTGAGCTCCTCCTTGTTTCTATGGTTTAATTATTTTATTGCGTTTTACATCTCTTCATATGCCTCCACACTAAGTTATCACACGGAGATATGAAAGTGTTAAACAACAGTCGTTCACGTTTCTGCTGCCATGCGACACCCTCAGTGCCTCTGACACCCCCCCCCCCCCCCCTTTATCTTTATTTAAAGCCTGATTTCCGGCTCAGCTGGAAACCAAATCAAGACCAGCTTAACGCTGGCTAATTAAGTGTTTCAGACACAAGACTGTGTGTTTTAATTACGCTTTCTTGTTTCTTCCAGCCCAGTGTGAAATGCAGATCAATCTGTCCTTTTGTTTATTTATTCGTTTTTTTAACAATTTCACAGTTTAGCAAGCAGAGACATCACGACGCCGTCTCTTATTTCAGCAGTGGGACTTGTCCAAGTTGTTCGCAGAAATGAGCTTTAATGAGAAAATGTTCTGAGGCAGATTTAGTTACGCTGAGAAGCAATGACGGACTTGTTTTGTGAAAACACATTAGAGTCTTTATTCCTTTGTGAGGCAACAAACTCAACAGTTTCAAGAAACAAGATGTGCGAGGAGGATATTGTCTGTGGAGCTGAGGTGACTTGACGTAAGGCTGCGTGTGTAACTGATGAGATTTTAACTGACAACTAAAGCTAGAGCCGGTCTCCTGTTGTACAGTTCATACTCTATGTCACAAATAATAATCGTGCCAAAATCATCTTTACTTCTTCAGATCGAACAATCAAGTTTTAACTTTGCTAAAAAGGTAATTGTTCCCATCGCAGAGCGAAAAGGAGGAATTGGAAATACCTTCTTTCTCTCTGTCCCATGCATGTTGTGAGCTGGATAACTTGAAAAATAAATAACAGGAACGTTTCCATTTTACTGTGTGACTGCACCTAGACATAAGAAAGATTCCTTTCAAAAACTGTGTTGCGTCGTCAAAATTCAAAATGGTCACCACCATCCATCCATATATAAACCATCCACCCCATTGTCTGGGGAAACCATGCTTTCTAATTTTTATATTGCTTAAAAGTATAGTTTCCTCAAATAAGTGGGGTGGCCAAATATTAAGTGATGGTGGCGAAGGCCACCAGTGGCCACCCCCTGGCTCTGCCATTGCGCCTGGTCGTTGATAAACTTGCTCCCTCACCAGAATCAGCAACTCTCAGCTGTTATGGACAAGCAAATTAAAATAAAATAACTTTGTTCTTCTGCTGTGTAACTTCTACCCACTTGAATATCTTGCATCAAAACATTTAGGTTTACTTACATTCTCTGTTCAGTTCTAGCTCAGAAATAACACTCGTCTTGAAAACGACAAACATTCACTATTCGAATCACTCTGTGATGTGGAACATCTGTGTACCGCTTGTTAAAGAAACATTCATCTGTGGTTTGTTTTTTATACATTTGACTTAGTTTGACCAGCGTTTCGTGTGTTCTTTGCTTGAGCTTTGTTCAGATAACACGCGTTTCTCGTTTCCATCACAAGTGAACAGCTTTAGGTGTGAGTGTTCATTCCTGAACTCTTGATGATTTATTTATGTAACTTAACAAATGTGATACGGGGGGAGTCGTTGAGCATGTGATAGTTTGAGACTTCACAAAGCTCAGCGTCAGAGTGAAGATTAAAGATTTTATCACGTAAACCTCCATCACAGAGAGCAGCAGCTCTTTGTTTTAAACTCGGCGTAAGAGCTGTGGAAGTGAACTTATGTTGGTGACAACAATGATTAGCTTATTGTTTTGTAACTGACAAAAACAGTTTAACGATTGCTCATTAACAACTCCCCACTCAGTAATCCACTCTAAATAATTCGGACTAACATTTTTATTGAGAAAGATGAATAATAATCCATTTAATTAAAACCGAAAAATAAATGATATTAAAAATAAACTAAGTCAGATCTTCAGAATATTCCTAAGGATGGCAGTTCAATCCTTTTAACTCATCCAGTCACTGAGGCAGAGGTTTGAATTGGGTCACGCTGGTTCTGTAGGACATCCTGCAGCGCAGCTCTGGACAGGTTGCCAGACGTGTGCAGGGATCCAGATCACCTCTGAAGGTGGTCTGAGTCGCCATCGTGTATTGAGATCATTCACACCCGATCATATCACCAGAGGCAGGTGTCTGTCTAGTTGGACACCAGGAGTTTCTGATCAACATCACTCAGGACGACGCAAACATACTGGGCACTGTAAAATGTTTCAGCTTCTATACAACAGTAATTACTGCAGTAATGATATGAAACAGACAGAGCAGTGAAAGCACGAGGACAACGGACACTTGGAGGTTGGTTCCTGCACAGAACCACCAGTACTTCCTCTGCGTTTGTCGTCTTTTTGCTGTAAAAAGCGCAACCGAACTCGTAAAGTAATAAACAACACAGGCAGTCTTCAGCTCCTGAAAACGAGCCTCACCTTCGTGCAGCACTTATCTGCAGCGGAGCCTGAAACAAATGCCTCCTCTCATCACATTTATCTGCAGATGAAACCCGAGCGCCTCCAGCGAGACCTGCACATATCAATATTAGACCTGTTAAAGCGTCATTACGCTGCTCTCATTCATTGGAACACACTTAGCTTATAGCACACACAGTACATCCACCCGCGATGTATATAGAAGCTATTAAGCAGCACTTAAGCAGGGTTCACAGGGAGCATCACAATATGCAAGTGGAGCTGAACTGGATCCAACATGGCAGAAGAGAAGATTACAGCCTCGCTCGGATTTTCGTGTTGGATTTTCATGCGACGGCATTTAGCAGCTTACCTCTTTCCAGTAAATATGATGCCATCTAGGGACAATTTCTCTTCACGAAAAGTTTTAAAATAAAATACACAAAACACACATGTAGATTGGATGATCCCAGATGAGAGGATGTGAACGTTCAGGCGTTGGAGTGATAATGAAGCTGGAGCTTGAGGTTCAGGGACTGGAACGATGGGGATGAATTTAAAATAAAACGACTGCAATAAAAGATGCTGTTGAGAATAAAAAATATGCTTTTTAATACTTTAATCAGGACTGAATAGCCCTTTGGAAATGTGGAAGTCATAAATGACACCAAAGGGTAAAAATATCTAAATTATGTAGCCTAAAATAATAAATACTTATCTATGTGGTGTTCACGTTCACTTTAGTGAAACTTGAGCCATATTTGTGTGCAGTGGGAATAAACTGTTGCGATCAGATTAAGAGTAAAAATACCACAAACTAAAACTGAACACCAAAAACAAACTGTGCAATTTTATTTTTCACATTGAAACCTTTCTACATAAATAATAACGTTAGAGCAAATCACAGCAAATGCACTTCAATGTTGACACGTTTGGTTATATTTTAATTCAAGCCTCTTTGCTTTGCTTCACAGCGTGAGTTTTACATCTGCATTGCTTCAAAACTGATATGACTGTTTGACATGAACATTTTTTTACTTTTAATATTTGAATTTCGTCTCTACTTTGGTATTAAAAGCCTTATTTGGTGTAAAAATCGATTAGTGATTTATATTTTAGGACTGTTTGAATACATATTCAATCATATCCTTATAAAGCTGCAGGAAAAAGCAGATAAACTGGTGGCTAATTGTTTTCAGGAGGCGTTAAGCTTAACTGGCAGATTAAAAAAACATGCAGGAGGAAGAAGGAGGGCGGTAGAGATGAAGACTGGATGTCTCCTAAATTATTCAGCTTTATTCTTTTCTAATAAAACCATCATCCTGCTCTTCTGGGAGTTTAATTGTTTTTCCTCTTGGCCATCGCTCAACATCATAAACACAAATTCTGCTCCTCTGTTTTTCACTCGTTTTATTTAACTGCTCCGTCTGCAGCTCATTACTCTGTTGATCGGTTTCTGAACTGAGATCAATCTTGATGATGTTTGCTGTAACCATGGACACGTTAGAAACCATTGCACGACTTGTCCGCTGGTCTGTAGGTGGCGCTCGTCTTTCCCAACAACGACCCCGGTGCCTTCATGACGGCGTTTTACGGCTGCCTGCTGGCTGAGGTCGTCCCCGTTCCGATAGAAGTCCCGCTCACCAGGAAGGTAAGTGTTAAACTCTTACAGTCAGACCTACAGATCTACACCCATTTTATCAGCTCCACCTGCATTGGCGTCAGAGGCATTTGTAATGTGGGAGGGACACACTGGTATGTATGCATGTATGTGTGTGTGTGTGTGTGTCTGGGGGGGGGGGGTCTGGGAGTCCTCCCCCAGGAAATTTTCAATAAAGTAGATGCCATTTCCTGCATTCTGGTGTATTTTAACAGGTCATGAAAATCTACATTTACCGCCATAATTAAACACTTGATTCAGTAACTATTTTAGAGAGCAACAAGAAGTAACCTGACCAACAGCTCTCCCTTTGTGAATCGAGCACGCTCCACTTCTCCCATGCATCCTAGACGCCCCCCCACCCCAGAGCTAACGTAACGCTTAGCTAGTGGCACGCAATACAGACGCGTTCGCTAAGATGCTACAGACTCCACTTCTCTCTCACATATCCTAACCCCGTCAACAAATGTCTGTATTAACGTGACACTAAGCTAGTGCAAAACAGAGGCGTCTCCCCCTCCTCCCCCCGTGAGCACCCCGCCAAGGCAGATGACCTCAGAGAAACGCTGCATGCGGTGTTGAGTTGTTGTAGGTAACCAGGAAAACCCGGAGTGGATTTTTAGTGGTTTGAGTAAGTGGAATGGATTAAATCACAACGAAATAGAAACAGTGCTGGGTGAACGAATATTTCGTAGTAAATGTTGGGGGGTTGGGGGGGGGGGGATGATAGAAAGGCAACAGTAGCTCAAAACAAAAAGAAAGAAGCTCAATCATCCAGGTAAATAAATCATAAAAAAAAGTCAAATCGTCATTTGGACAGTTTCTGTTTGAAAGAAATGGTTCGTCTTCCATCCGAAAAACATCAGTCTGAGACCTGCCAACAAGACGCGTCGTATTAAATAGCACCTTATTTGTGTGTTTCAAACCAGTCTGCAGTCGAGTTCCCAGAAACTTGTCTTTACACATGCAAAACGGAGGACCACCCGTCTAAAACAATCAATCATAACCCTAACCCTGAGGACAACCTGGCTAGCTTAAATAACCACTCATCCCTTTCAAGATCTGCAGAATACCATCTCTGATCACACAACAACCTGGAAGCAGGTGGGCTGCACTGGGAACCACTTCCTGTCAGCTAAGAACAGGAAACTAAAGCTGCAGTTCACACAGACTCACCAAAACTGGACAATAAGAGACTGGAGGGGAAAACATTTTCTGGTCTTATGAGTCTGGATTGACTGGACTCCAGAGGCCTCTACAGATCCACCAGGTCTCAGTCCAGTCGAGCACCTTAGGGATGTGGTGGAACGTGAGATTTAAATGTGAGTGATGCTAGCGTGTCATCAAGGACCATAATCTGTAAATAATATTTCCAACACCTTGTTGAATCCATGTCATGAGGCATGAAGGCAATGCTGAAGGTCAAAGGAGTCCAACAATGGTAATGAGTACCCAGTGAAGTGACCGGCGAGTGTAAGTTTGTGATTTATTGACCAATTCAGTCTGAATAAATACAAATAATGATCTGGATATTTGAGTTTAGGTTTTATTGGTTAAACATGTGAAAAAGACAGGAAACGGTGCATCTCCTTCATACGTGTGTAGGTATACAACGAAAGTCTCTAAACAGCCTTAAATAATTCATTCAGTGAATAATGTGAACACTGCATTGGAGAAAAATATAGAAATAAATGAAATAATTGTAAATGTGTACCAAGAAAATCATTTTATGAGTAATGAATTCAATTTTTAAGGTGAAATAAACACAAATTAAAGTGAAAAATGTCAATTAATCTTACGTTTAGTGTCAAGGATTCATTTGATCCCTGTATGTATGTTTATTTTTTTTGTACCAGATATCGCGTAAACCCTTCTGTTATTTATCTGTACTCCATATAAAACGGAGCTGAGCAGGAATCTTCAGTTCAAATGTCCGTCTGGTCTGACCTGTCCGTCTGCAGGACGCCGGCAGTCAGCAGATCGGGTTCCTGCTGGGCAGCTGCGGAGTCACCGTGGCCCTGACCAGCGACGCCTGCCATAAAGGCTTACCCAAAAGCCCCACAGGAGAGATCCCACAGTTCAAAGGTCAGACACACACGACCTTTCACTGTGACACTTCTGTCCACACACACACGCTGGCTCTTCGTCACGTCTGTGCTGATTGTAAATATATCCATACAGGTCTTATCTCGGAGCAGCCAAACGGTAAAGTAAAAGTAACAATACTAAAAGTAGCAAAACCATAGCTAACCTTCACACTTTAGTCACACACACACACACAACCACATGCACACGCTAATACCCCACCAGTTAAACTTGTAATGTATTTTTCCTCACCAGTTTAGAACAACAAAGGGTGCACACTTGGTTCAGGCAAACATCCATCACTCGTTGCATTGCATGACGGCCGCCTCCCTCAGTGCGTGGCAAAAGAGGGTGGGACGATCCATTTTCATTAAAAACATGTTTTCATGTGACTTTAAATGATTTTGTGCATTATCTTTGGGTTAATAAGGATGTTGAGGGAGCATGAGCTCAACTATTAAAATTGTACTTGTATAAATTGTGGCTAAATAAAGTGTACTGAAAGAAATGTAAAGGTTTAGTTTTTGCTATAGATGAAGAGTGGCTGCCCGACACTGAGGAGGCAGAGTGTGTGTGTCAGGTGGTACAGAGAAGGTAACCGGAGTGTGTATTTTTTCATCACGCTTGCAATGATCTGCAGTCTCTGCTGATTTCATGCTGCTGATTTATTTCATGCTGCTCTATTCATTCGTACTCATCGGCTCACACAGACTCATGTTCGTGCTGCTGCTGTTCGGCGTATTGTTTTTGCACTGTTAAGTGTTTAGTGTATTTCTTAGTTCTTATCTTAGATCTCCATTACTGTTTCTTTTACAAATTATACTTTTGCTATTGTTGAATGGAACTGGAGCCCTGTGTACACAATTTCATTCCACCTCATGTACCGCATGTGATGCGAATGACAATAAAGAACCTTGACCTTGATTTGTTTGAAGGACTTCCATTCAGGTTTAAAAAAATGTTTATTTGGAAAACATCCTATAACATATAAAAGTAATAAAATTATGGCTAAAAGTAACAAAATTGTAGATAAAATAGCAGCATTGTTGCTAAAAATGAAATGGTAGCTATAAGCTAAAGGTCACAAAATGGTAGGTAAAAGCTACAAGTAGCCAAACACTAGCAATTAACTAAATATGAAATGGTAGCTATAAGCTAAAGGTAGCAAAATGGTAGGTA